ACCCCGTGCCGGGAGAGCTTGAACCAGACCTGTCCCCGCCACCGCTGCTGAGGAGGACTTGCCTGGGGTCGCTGCCCAGGGGACGGGGGTTTTGAAAGCGAAGAATCCTGTATTCAGACAGCGAAAGTGGACGGTCGTCCTCCCTGGGCCCTGGGCTCACACATGGCCTTCTTATGGGTGACAGGCATTCAGGGACGTTCCCGTAGGTCCCCACCGCTCGCTCCGTGTTTGGGAGGTGGCTCGAGATGTGGTGTGATGGAAAGCCAGTGTACGTTCACCGTCACACTTGGCGTTTGCATTCAACGACTTGACTTTTGAGTTTGCCTAAAGAAGGGCAGCAGCCGACGCTGGAATTGACCCACACCCAGGTTACTGGCAACCAGAGGGCAGTCCTGGGCTCGATGCATACGAGCTGCCTGCCATGGTTTTTAGGTAGTTTTAGCCTTCGTGTCATAGAAGTTAAATCGGTTTTTAAAAACGTTTATTAGCCTTTGAGTAGTTGGACAAGTGTTCGTCTTGCCTTTATTGCAGGCTGTTTCGTGGCATTTGCGTAGTTATAACCCGTTTATGCTTCTTCCCTGCATCGTAGGTTCATTTTGCTGGCCTGCGACGGCCTCTTCAAGGTCTTTACCCCAGAGGAAGCTGTGAACTTCATCTTGTCTTGCCTCGAGGTAAGAAGGCTCATAGGGAGTGCCAGTTGTCGCAGCTTTAGAGAACTGGGAGTCGGGGACACCCCGTCCCTCCTCCATGTCCCCCATTGTTGTGGGGCAGCCCTTGTGTGTACTTGCAACGTCCGCTCTGCCCAGGAGACACCGGTCAGTCTGTCCTGCCTGCCCTGCTGGGCACGGCGAGCAGCTGCTCCTCTTAGTGACGCTGTCTCGAGAGGGCCGGGGTGCGGGCCCCCCGTTTACCAGCCCTTTCTTGCGGGTAGGATGAGAAGATCCAGAGCCGGGAAGGGAAGCCCGCTGTCGACGTCCGCTACGAAGCGGCCTGCAACAGGCTGGCCAGCAAGGCAGTGCAGCGGGTCGACGTCCGCTCCGAAGCGGCCTGCAACAGGCTGGCCAGCAAGGCAGTGCAGCGGGGCTCGGCCGACAACGTCACCGTGATGGCGGTGCGGATCGGGCCCTGAGGGCGCCGCGAGGCCGGGCCCGGTGCGGCATTGGCCAAGGTCATGTGTGTGTGCACATCTGTGTGTTTCGCGTACTCCTGTGGGACTCTCGTGGTTGTAAATAAAGGTTCTTTTTTTTTTCTAGTCTTTTGAACTAATACGTTTTGAGCAGCCCTCGACCCTTCAGAGGTTAGGTGTTTGGTTTGGAATATGCTCTGGGTCTCGTTAAAACCACCGTGGCGACTTGGAGTGGCTCGTGGTTACTGACCCGCAAGCCATTCACCGCGCACTGTCTTGTAGTTTCAGGCCCCTCTCCTGTGCTCTGTCACCCTCGGGATGGCCCTGGATGATGGGGAAGTGGCATCCCCTAGTGAGGAGGTGGTGGTGGTGACTGGCCAAGACGAGCTAGGACCCGAGTTCAGGGCGGTTGGGGTGCGAAATAAGGGTACGATATGTTTTGTACCCTCTGAGCCGGGAGAGCAGACTGGCCCACGAGCTCAGGCCCTCCGTGGGGTGGTGGGCCCCGCAGGCCCCCCCGACGACAGCTCAGGACTCGGGTGCTTCCTGACGCCACTGGTGCTGGGCGCAGCCTGCACGAGGGGCTCTGGGCGTGCTGGTGTCCTGGCCCCTGGGGGTCCCGGCGTGAACGGGTCCTCTCCGCTTTGAGCATCGAGCTGCT